CTGCAAAGAAACAGGGAAACATCATATGTAATGTGATGTGATGACACATCGCTTCAACCTCACATCCTTTCTCCCATGTTATTATGTCATTAATCTAATTGGAAAATATCACAACAGTTGTGGTCGTTCCCAATCATGAAAATAAATCACATAGACTCTAAATTTACAACATGCAGAACAAATACCATACAAATTAAAAACAGCCAATCAGACAAACAAACATCCAACAAAGAAAACAGAACCAGTGAAGATAGAAGGTCCACAAATTATCCTCACAATTGAACTGGTCACTGGAGCATATCACTCATTCACAAAAAGAAAAAACTCACAGAAATAATTGAACCCCTATAAAAAAAAAAAAAACATCACAAAAACAGGGCTGTAACCAATAAATTAACCCTTTTCACACACAAAAAACAGGGCTGTAAAAAATAACTACCCAATACTTATTCCCTAAAAAATCCCAAAGACAATATCTAGACAGAGTTTATAAAGAGACAATGGTTGAAGGCAAAGGCTATGAAATTAATGAGACTAAAGAAGAAAGAAAAAAAGAGGAACAATTCACATAATTATAGTTCAGTGAGAGACAATGACAAAAGGCAGAGGCTATGAGATGAATGAGACAATAAAAGAACATAGGAAATTTGCTTAATTTTGCAGTATTTTTTATAAAATAATCACAAAGGCAACATCTAGATGTCGTTCAGAAAGAGACACAGGAATAATTTGGCAGAGGCTAGGAACTGAATGAGAGGATTAAAGAAGGCAGAAGATAAGAATAGAATGAAACTAAAGCCAAAGAAGACAGAAGAAAAGTGGAAAATTGCTTTCAGATTTTCATTTCTGATTGACCATTCAATTGCATGAATGGCCTTGAGGCATACGCTCCTCTCCTCCCACAACAGATTTATCCTGAAGAAAATGAATTTTGGGGAAAAGATGGTCCCCAGATAGAAGACCTCCCTAGTAGTGAAGGCATTTATCTTGTTTAGCGTCAAAGGGTGTTAACAATGGGGGAGAAGCGGCAGCGTTTAAAGCCAAGCGTTGGTGGCCGCAGTTAAGACCATAGGCCTGCCCTCATCAGCTCGAGATTGCCAAATAGCACGCTATTTCTGATTTGGGAAATAATCAAGAAGTTACAAATTGCGTCTTCATCAGCTCGAGACTTGACATTGAAACTTGAAACTCCAGCTCAAGAAATTAGCTCGAGATATTTTGCTTGGCGTTCGCGCATAGTGCGAGACTTCGGGTTGGTGAAGATGCACCGGAGAAATATCGAAATATTTTGCAAACTAACCCAAGATATCTTGGGATGATTTTCTCGACTAAATATCCCGCTAATTGCAACTTCGGGCTGATGAAGACGCAAATTAACTGGATAAATTGCGATCAAGATAGTCCAAATAGCAAGATATTTGGCAATCTCGAGCTGATGAGGACAGGCCTCATGCTTCCAGTCGGGCGGGATGTTGCATACAGGAAATAGATAATGATGCTACAACTGATACAAAGAGAGAGAAAAGGTTACTTTTTAGTAACCAACTGTGTTTGGGTCAAATAACTGTTGCAGTACATCTGTGATACAGTAACATCACTGCATGGAAATAGATAATGATGCTACAACTGACTCAAAGACAGAGAGGACAAAATTTCTTTTGGTAACCAACTGAGTTTGGGTCAAATAACTGTTGTAGTACATCTGAAATACAGTAACATCATGGCATTGAAACTGTGGGTGGTATAATAAAGAAATCAAGGTAATATTGCATCAGTTCAATTGTAGAATGAGGGGGCTATTGTCATATATTATCTGTCTTGTCCAGACTGAATTTTATTTCATATTCTTTTCACAATCTTTGGTTACTATCAAGGTGACACTGGTAATTTGTTAATTAATTGCTTACATAATCCCCTAGGGTCCTGTTTTATATAACTTGTTATCAATAACAAATGTAAATTTCTATGACAAATTTGCTCCCAGCCAATCAAATGCAACGATTTTCAGTAGCTTATATCAGTTATTGGAAGTTGTTATTGACTTTATGTTTTATGGGAATGAGAGAATTAAGTGATCAAAAGTTGACCCTTTTTATACATCATCTAAATTTTATTTTCCTCCAATCTCTTCTTTTTCTTTATACTCATCTGCTAAACATTCATCCTCAAATATTGAGATAAAGTTACAAAGTACAAATTATCAGAGATACAAAGATAGCCATTATTTGGAAGGAAATATAACTCTATCTTAGAAACATGACATGAATGCTATACAAGCAGTGGAAAGTTTTAAGTAAAATGATTGTTGTAAAGACTCCCCAAAAAAATCCATTTCATTATTCTCCATGATAATTTACAATTAACAGTAATATAAGTAACTGGGCTTTGCAATGCAGTACACAATGCATTGCGTTGACTCAGGAGGAGGCACCGTTGCTCGGTGGTAGAGCAGTGGTCCCCTTAACCGGGAGGTCCCAGGTTCAAAACCTAGTTGATGTGCTATTGGCCTTTGGTAAGGCATTAATCCTCATTAACAAGTCTCTTGGAGAGGACTTAAAGCCGTTGGTCCCCTACATGTAGTTGCTTACTTACAAGCATACAATGCTTTCTCAGCAGTCAAATAAAACAAACAAACAAATTCTTCCATTAGTACATGGACTTATAAATGTATCTGTTATAGCTTTGCATTCCTATTGTATAACAACCTAGAGATGAAGAAGACAAGATCCCATTACTATTGATTACTTCAATCTCAGCCACTCATCGCCAAACAGCATTGCCGCAATTGCCCCGATCACATTCCACCTAGCGGCTCAAACGAGGGAGACATTTAATTACTTGGGTGTCACTGCGCGTTGTTTGTGCATGTTGTGGCATGACGAGCGATTGATAGTTGTGATGTCATCTTTTAGAATGATCGTACAACCGTCCATAGCTAGATACAGTACACCTCAGAATCAGAGTTGTATATCTCCTTTATACTCGTGTTGGTCTCAACAGTACAAGTGTACAGGAGAATTTGTGGCAATTAGTCCAAGATGTTAGAACATATGTACATATATGTCCGATCCTTGTATTAGGTTAATAGACTTATGAGAGCTTAAAGATCTGACCAAATATGAGAGGCAATGACATTTGGTGTCAGGCTTTATTCAAAACTTTAATATTATAATACTTTGTTAAGTATGAGACACCAAATGCTCAGTTACAAATTTAGTATTTGTACTTCTAAACATTTGTAATATTGAAATGATTCAATAAAATCTAAATACATAGCTTTATTAGTAGTATTGAAAATTACTTTTTAAACTCAAAATTATGCACAGGGAATTTCCTTGTGATGTTAATTCATTTCACTGTGCTTATCATAGATCTTTTAGTATTGAATAATCAAATTTGATCTTTATTAAAACATTCTTTGATACAGTCACTAACATGAACTTGAACACACAAGCACTAGTTCACCTTCATTGCCATACACATCAATCTTTTCTAAAAATGTTATGGTGGGGCCCCGAGAGGAATAGAAAGAGCATGGCTATTGAAACTCGCTGCGATAACAACAAAGTCCCCACACAAAATCTTTCATGAACTACGTCATCGGAAGGAGAAAAGGAGACAGAGGGAATGGGAGTGTCGCAAGAAAACTAATGCCATTTGAAACAATTGCACTAATCACTCAAATTCTAGCCCTATGGCGGCACATTAATTCCCAACTGTCAAGTTTAAGGATAATGGATGGGGAGAGGATTAGGGTGGTGGAGGGGTGTGGAGGGGGTGGTGGAGGGGTGTGGAGGGGGTGGTGCAGGGGGTGGTGCAGGGGTGGTGGAGGGGTGAGGATGGGGTGGTGGAGGGGTGAGGATGGGGTGGTGGAGGGGTGAGGAGGGGTGGTGGAGGGGTGAGGATGGGTGGTGGAGGGGTGAGGAGGGGTGGTGGAGGGGTGAGGATTAGGTGGTGGAGGGGTGAGGATGGGGTGGTGGAGGGGTGAGGATGGGGTGGTGGAGGGGTGAGGATGGGGTGGTGGAGGGGTGAGGATTGGGTGGTGGAGGGGTGAGGATGGGGTGGTGGAGGGGTGAGGATGGGGTGGTGGAGGGGTGTGGAGGGGTTGGTGGAGGGGTGTGAAGGGGTTGGTGGAGGGGTGTGGATGGGGTAGTGGAGGGGTGAGGATGGGGTGGGGAAGGGGTACAACAGAGGTGGTGGAGGATAATGGATGGGGATAGGATTGGGGTGGTGGAGGTGTGAGGATGGGGTGGGGAAGGGGTACAACAGAGGTGTTGGAGGATAATGGATGGGAAGAGGATTAGAGTGGTGGAGGTGTGTGGAAGAGGTGTATGGAGGGGGTGGTGGAGGGGTGAGGATTAGGGTGGTGGAGGGGTACAACAGAGGTGGTGGAGGATAATGGATGGGGAGAGGATTAGGGTGGTAGAGGGGTGATGGAGGGGTGAGGATGGGGTGGGGAAGGGGTACCACAGGGGTGGTGGAGGGGGCGGTAGGGGGACAGTCAGGGTGTGAGGGTGCAAGATGTCGCCTCTGGTGTCATGATTGACTAACCTCTTGGCAAGGAGTGACAGGTATTGCACCGAGCAGGAAAACGAAATAAAACCAAGAATGTTCTCGAGAGATGGATTTGCAGGAGGTGTTTATGCCGACCATCAATGACTGTCTTGTGTATTGGAACAGGCAACAACACATTTTTTGTTCTTTATTTCCATATATTCATGTTGCAGCTTTGAATCTTTCCTGACATATATTACTAGAACATTCAATTTCACATGCTGAAAAATTATAGTGTAACTTTTTGCAAGATGAAGAGAAGACTGATTAATACAATGCAAAACTGAACAAATAATAGTATGGTATTGTTTGACAGGCAATTACGGAAACCTAAAATAACAAAGAATTACTTAACTTATAGTTCACGATATCATTTTTTTCTGCCAGTTACGAAAGAGGCTTTTGAGTAAAAAGATCCTCTTCTGTGGGACTAGCCAAGGATTTAT